TAACCGCCATGCTATTTCTTTTATTGGATAAATTTTATTTTATGCTCTGGGCTCTCATCAATGAATTTCGGGTTGTGTATTTTAGGGACGTTACATTTTGTTTGCTCAAAACTACTAGAAACCATGGAAAGTGTTTTCTCTACATCGTTCGGTATATATACAGCCTAGGCCAACATTGCCAAAATGAAGGTCAGCGGCATCAACGATTAAGAGCAAAAAATGCAAATCAACAAGATTTTTGAAGAAAGCTCATGTGTTTCAAGACATTGATGGTGCCATCTCTGTTTCACAAAAACCAAGCAAGCAAGGGAGCAATTCAATAGTGCAATGATCAATAGATGGGATTCAAGGAGACCAATTACATCCCTTCAGCTGATATCATGCATGTAAGACATCGAGTCATAGGCCTTTTACGAGATACACGGACAAGCCTTCAGACATAAAACAAAGTGCATAGAATTCCCACCAAAACTAGGGCAGTTAATGCGAACAACCTATGTGTCCAATTGACATCAAGTGCTCTCACAGTAATGAGTGGCTATTGAAGTATGGATAGGATACGGTATATGAATAGAGGAGCTCATGATAAGGTGGCCCATAGTAAACCTACAGACAAGGACCTAAAAAGTATGATTACATTCTTATATGCAAGACCCACAAAGAAGAATGGGAGCCTAAGAAAGAGGTTGCAATGAAGCCACAGTGACCTAGAGAGGAAAATTAAAACCAGCCACACAACGTTTGATATACATGCCATTCCCCCAGCAACACAACTATCTATGAGGGCATACAACCATGATGGCATAACAGACCCAAAGAAATAAAAAAGATGCCTTTAACAAACTTAAGATCCAAGCCTATATCAGCTTATAAATAATAGGTTAATGCCAAGGGGGGATTTAACTTTTTCCTTATACTTGTACACACCAAGTCATCTCTTACTTTCATACTTGATCTCACGCCTATGGCAGATCCAATGATCACGTCCTTAGTGTATCTATTGTGCAAGCTATCACAACTTCACAAAGTAAAAACAGACCAGCATCATCACGTGTCAAACAATAAATGTAGTGATGAGACAAAGGTAATACTATTTTTAACTTCCATTTAACAATGAAGATCAAGTCTAGCATGGAACAAATACTTACGGTTTAGCCTCCAAAGACTATCATAGATTACCAAACCAAGGATGACTTCCCTATTTCATTGTTAATTTCAAGATGAAAACTTGTGATATAATACAACAAATATATCTTGAAAAGAACCCTGTAAGCATGAAGGTGACAACTCATCCCAAGTTTTATCTATCCACTTACATGTGGTAAAGTTCGCGAAAAAAGAGAGGGTTTTGAAGGGTAGAAACAAAAATGCCCAAAACTAGAAAAAAAAAATTAAGGACAACTTCCTACATCAAATAGACTATGTTGGCTTTGATTATAAACATGAAAGGTAGATAAAGCAAAGCTCTGAAGAATACTATCAGGATTCAAATGAAGCAATGTTTTTAGCTAAAAGAAGAAGAATGTGTGCTTACAAATTTTCCACCATATGGCTGGACATAATCCCAGTTTGCACGGTTAGCCTGGTATGAAAATTCAAAGGCATTCAGCATGAGAAAGCTTCTTGGTTTACTATGAAATAAAGCATATTGTTTGCAAGTTGTACTAGTACTTGCAAAGGAATTACCCTGTCCAATTTATACAAGCGGCCTTTCCTATTGACCACCCTAGCAGCAGCATCATAGGCACTCCGGGAAGCAAATTGAACAATCCTGCTCACCAACCCCAAAATGACAATGTAATTAATCAGAATTCGCAAGACAGTTTCAATTTATCTGTATGAGCAACAGAATGACCACTTACAGAATTACACACACACATGCAATTACATACACCCTCCAAGATGCATTGTGATGTTAAATCTACAAACTACATTTACACAAACTACAAAATGGAGAACATTACATTCCAGTTGGTAAATAAAACGGATTGTAATCGACTTTGAGATCATCTGCGCTTAAATTGCATTCTTCAAGCAAACTGAGAATATCACTCTTCAATGTATTCTTTGTAATGCCTACCAATCTCCCGTAGACCAAACCTGACATAAGCCCACAAACAGATGAGAAAAATAAAAGTCATACATACTATATGATTATGAGTAACATGAAATCATGAATGACAACAGAAAGCAAAGCATCAAATGTGTAATAACTTTACTATCTAAAACAATGACTCAGAAAATGATTCGGCTGACTGTTAGCATAGCTTACAACTTAAAAGATAGGGAGTAATCCCATTATGATGACAATTGCCATCAAGTGAATTTTCAGTACATTGCCATTTAGAAAATACAAATAAATGAGTTTATAACTGAGATTCATTGTCACATCTGGGGAATTCACATATGGAACTTTTTTCACTGAGATGACACTTGATGAACCATCTTTTAAAAATTTCTTCCAATAAGAACTTGCTCTGATTACAAGTTATAACAAAAACCAATAAATTTATAGCATCCCCCAACCAAGTCTTAACATGCCTACATATCAAGCCTTAGGTTTTTTACACCAGTGTTCAACAATAAACTACAGTTTTCACAAATATAGCATGAATTCAGGAGTAAGAAAAACATGGGCGTTATCAGTGACAAATTCCTAACTGAGTATAAACACTAAAAAACTTCGGAAATGATGACACAATATTGGAAGGATGAGTTTATAAACAACGCGGATTTCTTTCAAGAAATTGTGAATGTATACGTATTACAATACCTGATGATGGTGTTTCAAACAATGGTTTAGTGGAGGAGAATTGGTTAGTCGGTGATGCAGATTCCGTCGACAATTGACGGAGAGTCGGAGAGCTTGACAGAACTGATCTGATCCCTTTATGCGGATGAACTTTCCGCATCAGACGACTCGACGATATTCTGACTGCATTTTGGAGGAGACTCGTCTTCAACATCTAGATAGAGGGAGGGGGAACAGCTGCTCGGCTTTCAAGGTTTTAGGCAACGGAGGTTTTGTTTCAGATGATGGCGACGACGATGACGACGATGATGATTCGAACGACGTCGCGTTTGTTCCAAAATTTGGGGATCATCTTAAGTTGGGCTGGGCCGGGATTTGTTAGAATTATATAAGTAGCCACCGAGCCCAACAATATCTCGAAATGATTATAATTTTATTTTTAGGTAAAATGAGTTTTTATAAAAAAAATTATTATAGTATTTTAATTTCAGTTTTTTTTATTATAGCAATGTACTTTTAAAATATTTTTTATTAGGGTATTGTATTTTCAAAAATTTACCTATTATAGCATTGGGTAACATTTTAAATTAAATTTACCCATTATATCAGGTTTTTTTGTCAACTCATCGTCCACATGTACGATAGTGCTGACATGACATTTCTTATTATAGCATTGTACTTTTAAAATTACTTTACTATAACATCACCAATTTCTATCACAGTATTGTACTTTAAATTTTAATATTTTATCATTTAAACATTATAAATTTAATCAAATATGTTTACTAAAAATATAATATAAAAATTAAATATGTTTATAAAAGATCACTATTTCACAAATAAAAATATTCATAAAAAATTTGTTTAATGGATTCATTGTAAATTTCATGGCTTACTTTGTAATGTCAAAAACTAGTGGAACATCTTTTAAAAACAAAACTTATCCTACTTACATTCATCTAACAATAATATTTAATTAAATGCATTGCATAGCACTGCTTCATAAAAACACCCCAGCTGAATATACTTAATTTATATGTCTTATATTATTTATAAGTTAATAATATTATTTATTAAATACATGTTTAATTATACGTTAGATATATGTAAATGTTTCGTAACATGAACATTGATTATAACTCATTATTTTTAAATTAATGGAGAAATAAAATAACTTTTATCCAATTTATATCGTACTCGATGTCAGCTTTAAACAAATTTATTATAAGTAAATCAATCAGGTACGAGTACAACGCCAGGATGATGGATTTGCAAGTCTAGAAGCCGGAAAAATCTTGTCCTTTAAAAAAATAATCGGTTACATTAAAATTACAAGCTTTTAAAACATAAATAATAAGGAATTCGTAGATCACATAAAAAACGACAGGTTAAAATGTAACGATTTACAACCGTCTCATTGAAGCCTTTTGATCATAACAATTTCGATTGTTGTTGAAGCGTTTTCTTCTGCCATCAGAACTTGGAATCTATCCGACTCGTAGTCATTCGATCATGATAACCGAATACCCAAATTAACAAGTTAAAACCATAAGAAAAACGAACCCTTAATTATTCGATGGAGAAGACGTTTGTTTCTAGTTGGTAAGCTTTTGTGAAGAAATTAGGCCAACAAAAATAGGTAGACATAATGCTACTCATGGTTGAAGCCCCAATGAGCATGTTCATCACCACTATTTGGAGTTGAATGGCTTCCACCGGAGAAGCTCCCCCCATTATTAGTCCGGTCATCGCTCCGGGAAGCGATATGAGCCCCACGGTTTTTGTATTGTCGATAACCGGTGAGAGCGCAATGACTAACGATCTTTTCACTTGTTCGAGCGTCGCTTGTCGTGGTGTGGCACCTAGGGCTAGCGCCGTCTCCACCTTCACGAAACAAAAGATAACTATTGAATAGAGAGATACAAAACCATCGAGTCGATTAATGAACTCTCAAGCTATCGGTTTTCGACTCTGATCATCTGACACACACTTCTTAGACCACCTCCAACCGTAACATCAATAAAAACATCAAATTAGTGGGCCCATTAACACGAGAACGACGTATATGACGTTTCTCTCTCGTATCATGTATTTTACTAAGGGGCCGTTTACTGAACACTTACCCGGGTAAGCGCTTGCCAAGTTATATTACCTCACCAGATGAATATGGTAGGGACTAAGAATCTTACCCGGTAAGAGCGAGACAAAGACCATGAGTCTTACCTGGTAAGTGAGGGCAACGACTCTTACCATGGTAAACGTTTACCGGATGAATTGTTGCATACAATGTCGTTTTGATGGATTAAAATTTTGTCCGATAATTAAATAATAGTGTTAAATTTTACCGATTGGTTTACTCTTAAAATGGTGTTGGTCCTGTTGGAGATTCCTTTAAATACTAGCGAAAATGTTAAAATCTTAAAAGAGAAGTTTTATTTGTTGAGACTTACCAGACTCATTTGCGTTCGAATATCGTCACGAAGTCTTTTCATCGTAACTCCGGTGACGGTCATGGCATTGCCAACCATCATTCCGGCGACCGGAATTATATATTGTGGAGTGAAGGGGAAAACGTTCAGCAAAACCAGTAGAAACATGGTTATGGCTGTACCGGCCAAAATGGAGGCTCCGGCGATATATTTCCCATGGGGGACGTGTTTAGCTCGCTGGCCGGCGGTGTACCCGGCGACGGAGACCTGCAAGGGAAAAAAAGAGTGGTCTTTTTCAATTCATTCCGAATTAATTTAACGTGAAATTAAAAGTAAAATACTAAAATTTCCATTGCATATATATACCATGAAGAGATAAGCAAGAATGATCCACCAGCCATTGCTTCGGTTGAAAATGAATTGAAGCACAAACCCAATAATGGAGAGCTGAATGAAAGCTCTAACAATGGCGTAAATCATCTCCCCCTCTAGTTTCAGCTTCTGAAAATATGACAGCGCCGCCGCCAGCAACAAAATCGCGGTGGCTGCCGCCGGCTTCACCATCCCCTTCAAGAACTCCAACAGCCACTCCCACTCCATAGTTATTCTTGCTCAGTTATACTCCCACATGTACATAGATATATATATGTGTGTTGACTTTCATACTGATCAGACACACATATATATATATATATATATAGTTATGCAACTTTTTATATTTTCACAACCAATACAACTCAATTTTAATCGTCCATTTAATTTGATGAATATGTGATTTCATAAAAGTTCAAATTGTTTCTTAATATAAAATATTAATCATAATAAATAAACTTTCATCATTTTCATAAATATTTCAATTGATTTGGTTGAACTCTCGTTATCTTCCATAAATATCTAAACCATATATCATCATTTTCAATATTTTTTAATAATTATGTTTAAATTAACTTGAATGATGGATAATTAAAATGAACACAGTACCATTCAACATATTGATTTGGATGATTTATTCGTTTCTAGTGTTTTGAATGATATGTTCATTAGTAAACACAGTTCACATTTACAAGATGTTCATGTCTGAATATGAGACATTAATACACAAATAGTTGGCCAAAGGTTCCTGAATGAACAATTTTCATAACTACTAACTTCTATTACTTATCATATAAATGTTTATTTGTGAACTAATAAACCCCTCATAAATGAAAAAGTAAAATATGATTGATTGTGGTTTCAAAATGATGAAGGATAGATTCGTGGGAACTAAAGTCGGTGCATGGTAAAAGGTCCTCATCTTTTCCAATTTTTACTTTGTTCACTATCGTTCATTATAGCACACGTTTATTTTACTAGTACAAAAATGTCACTGATATTTAATATGTAGATTAAATAAATTAAAAGCAATGACTGATTCACATAGTTAACATTATATATATATATATATGTGTGTGTGTGTGTGTGGGAGGATTAATCATTTGAAAACTCATTAAATCGTGATAACCTTTAGGGCATCTCCAATGGATGACACTCTACCAGAGTGTCATGGATTGCCACATCAGCATTCCACTCACCATACAACTCTATCATTTTATA